TGTCCTGGATTGATTCCAACTCATGGAGATCCAGCACCCTTTAAATCATATAAACATTAGTTATTGAAACTGAAACATTTAGTGTATCAGGAATGTAGAGATAAAGCAAAAAACTATAAAGATTACCAGAGAACAATTAGGATCAAATCTAGAAACACCAATCCATGGCATGAATAGACTCTAAAACATAACAAAAAACCCACTGCCCACTATAAAATAGAGGGATGGGACCCTCTAACAATCAAATCCTTACATGCATCATCAGATGAATGGGTAGAGAAACTGTTCACACAACAGAGTACCATGCAGTACGGAAAAACAGTACACAGTATACAGCATGGATGAGTCTGGAGGATATCATGTTAAGTGTATGAATTCAGAGACAAAAGAACAAATAACATATAAGTCCACTGTTGAAAAATACAGTGGTTACTGGGGAGCAAAAGGCAGGGAAGGGTGATGAAAATAATTGATGCTAATTCCTATATTGGAATACATGAAGGGAAGGTCAGTCTGAAATCAACACGATCAGCCATTGTGTGCATTAACAATTAACAATCTGGAACAGGAGAGGTACTGTGGGTTAAATGAGAGTGGGGGAAGAAAAGGAAAAATATTCATAAACAGAGAAAGAAGGTGGGTGAAGAAAATAGAAATATACAATAAGGATTTGCTTCTTGTTGTTGTTGCTGTTGTTGTTATGTGCCATCGAGTCACTTGCGACTCATAGCGACCCTATGTACAACATCCCTAAACTCTGCTCTGTCCTGTGCCAATCACACCGTCTCCGATACACCCATCCCGATTACCCCAGTCACTGAATCAATCCACCTCATAGGGGGCCTTCCCCTTATGCGCTGTCCCTCCACCCTACCAAGCATGATGTCCCTCTCCAAGGATCTGTCCCTCTTTGCAACATGTCCAAAGTATGTTACACGAAGCCTTAAGAATCCTTGCCTCCAAGGAGCAGCCCGGTTTGACCCTTTCCAGGATGAATCTGTTTGTTTTCCTAGCAGTCCATGGTACCCTCAATACTCTTCTCCAGCACCAAAGCTCAAAGTCATCAATTCTCCTTCTTAGACATTGTAATAAGTTAATTACATCAGCAAATGGTGGTGATTGCCTATGAATGATTGTCTGAAAAAGTAAGACTTATAAATTTTCATAAAATGAAGTTTTTAAAAAGTTAATTGAAACATTTAATAAAAAATTCCACTCCAGTTGTCTCTCTTAAGCCAGTTCTCACTGCATACTCAAAATGTATACTTGCGTACTTGAGGCATGCAAAGATAAAAATGCATTTTCTTCAAAACTGTTACCAAAGTATTTTGTTGTTGTTAGATACCATCAATCAACTACAGCTCATAGAAACTCACAGACAACAGATCTGAACCTTTCCCTGTCCTGAGTGTCCTCATGATCTGTCCTGCCCAAGCCCATTGTTAGTCAACCCACCCCATTTAAGATTGTCCTCCTTCCAGCATGATGTCTCTCTCCAAGGACTAGTTCCTCCTGAAAATATGCCTAAAATAATTAAGACAAAATTTCATCTTCCTTGTCTCTAAGGAGCACCCAGGTTACACTTCTTGGAAAACAGATGTGTTAGGGTTTTTTTGCAGTTCATGGAATACTCGGCACACTTCACCAACACCACATTCAGATGTGTAAGAAGCACTGAAAATACCATAGCTTGAATCAGGCACACTTTATTCTTTAAACTGATATCCTTGCTCTTTATAACTTTGGAGAGATCGTTGACAACATTATTTTCCCAATGCAGTTGTTGTTGTTGTTGTTGTTGTTGTTATGTGCCATCAAATCGCTTGTGACTCATAGCGACCCTATGTACAACAGCCCTAAACTCCGCTCTGTCCTGTGCCAATCGCACTGTCTCTGACACTCCCATCCCAATTACCCCAGTCACTGAATCAATCCACCTCATAGAGGGCCTTCCTCTCCTGCGCTGTCCCTCCACCCTCCCAAGCATGATGTCCCTCTCTAAGGACCGGTCTCTCCTCACAACATGTCCAAAGTATGTTAGACAGCCTCAGAATCCTTGCCTCCAAGGAGCCACCCGGTTTAACCCTTTCCAGGACAAATCTGTTTGTTTTCCTAGCAGTCCATGGTATTCTCAATACTCTTCTCCAGCACCACAGCTCAAAGGCATCAATTCTCCTTGTATCCTCCTTGGTCATTGTCCAACTCTCTGATGCATAGCAAGTGATTGCGAAGACCATAGCCTGTATCAGACACACCTTAGTCTCCAGAGAGACACCACTGCTCTTCAGCACTTTGGAGAGGTCCCTAACAGCAGCCTTTCCCATGGCAATGCGCCTTTTAATTTCCTGGCTGCTGGTGCCAAGACTGTTCACTACGGAGCCAAGCAAACTAAAGCTGTATACAATCTCAATCTCTTCACCATCCATCCTGATGCTACCAATTGGTCCAGTGGTGAGAATCTTTGTCTTCTTGACATTGAGCCTCAATCCATATTGTAGGCTGCAGTCCTTGACATTCTGCAGCACGCGCTTCAGGTTCTCTTCAGTTTCAGCAAGCAGAGTTGTGTCATCCACATAATGCAGGTTGTTGATAAATCGTCCACCAATCTTGACCCCACATTTCTCCTCATAGAGCCCTGCCTCCCGGATAATCTGTTCTGCATATAGGTTGAAAAGGTATGGAGATAGGATGCATCCCTGGCGTACACCCTTCTCAATTTTGAACCATGCAGTCTTCCCTTGCTCTGTTCTGACGACTGCCTCCTGGTCCAAGTATAAGTTTCGCATTAGAACGATCAAGTGTTCTGGGATTCCCATTCTTCTCAGAGTCAGCCACAGTTCGTTATGATCTACACAGTCAAATGCCTTTGCATAGTCAATGAAACACAGATAGACATTCCTCTGGTATTCCCTGCTTTCAGCCAAGATCCATCTAACGTCAGCTACAATATCTCTAGTACCACGACCCCTTCTGAAACCAGCCTGGACTTCTGGTAGTTCTCTGTTGATGTGCTGTTCCAGTGGTTTTTGGATAATCTTCAGTAAAATCTTGCTTGCATGTGAAATCAGTGAGATTGTTCTGTAGTTTCCACATTCTGTTGGGTCACCTTTCTTTGGGATAGGAACAAATATCGATATCTTCCAGTCAGTTGGCCAAGTGGTTTTTCTCCAGGTTTCTTGGCACAACTTGGTGAGCATGTCCAGGCCCAATGCAGTACTTCTTTTTATTTCTTGACTATTGCTAACATGAGTGTTGATTATAGATTAAAATAAAATTAAATCCTTGACAACTTCAATCTTTTCTTCATTATTATGTTGCCCATTCTTAGTTCAGAGTTTGAGGATTTTTGTCTTCATGTTGAAATGTAACCCATACCGAAGACTTTAGCCTTTGATCTCTTACTGAACATGCTTCAAATATCCTTCACTTTATGCAAACAAGGTTGTGTCATCTGCATAATGCAGGTTGTTGATGAGCCTTCTTCCAATCCTGATGCCACATTCTTCTTCATATAGTCCAGCTTATTGAATGACTTGCTCATCATACAGACGAAATAGATATGAAAGGATACAAACCTGATGCACACCATTTCTGATTTTGAGCCATGCCATGCATGGTCCCTTGTTCTGTTTGGACAACTGATTTTTGGTCTCTCTGTATGTTTTGCATGAGCACAATTAAGTGTTCTTGGATTTTCATTCTTTTCAATGTTAACTACACTTTTGTGTAATCCACACATTCAAGTGTCTTTATAAAATCAATAAAATACAATTAAACATCTTTCTGGTATTCTCTTTCAGCCAAGATCAAGGCCTCTTCTGAATTCAGCTTAAATTTCTGGAAGTTTTCTGTCAATGTAGGAGCTGTTTAAAAAATAATATGCAGAAAGATTTTATCTGCATGTGATATTAATGCTATTGTTCAATAATTTTTCATCGTGTTGGATCCCCTTTTTAAAAAACGGGAGAATTCATCTCTTCCACAGTTGGTCAGGTAGCTGGCAGTCCTCCATATTTGTTGGCATAGACTGGTGAGTACATCCAGGACTACATCTAAACCTTGAAACATTTTAATAGTATTCCATAAATTCCTGGGATTTTCATTTTTCCAAATTCCTCTGTGCTGCATGAACTTCTTCCTTCAACATTATTGGATATAGATTATATACTACTACTGAAATGGTTCAGTGTCAACCAGTTATTTTTGGTGTAGTAACTTTGTGTGTTCTTTTCATCTTCCTTTGATTCTTTTCACATCATTCAAGAGTTTGTCCACAGAATCCAGTATTGTAACTCAAGGCTGGGTTTTGTTCTTCAATTCTTTTGGCTTGAGAAATGCAGAGTGTATTCTTTCCTTTTGTTTGTCTAACTCCAACTTCTCTCACATTTCTTACAGTTTCCAGTTTTCTTAGATTCATATTTTGGACATCCCATTAAAAATGTCCCAACTTTCATTGGATATTTGCAATTGTGTTTCCTTATTTTGAATCTTGCCACATCAGAAAAAATTAAGATCTTTTCACTGGGCTTTATTCCATCCCCATTATTACAGTAGCTTCTGATTTTTTCTCGTTTGGTTTTGGAGTGCCTTCTAACCTGAGGGAGTCCTCTTGCAGCTCAGTATCTAACAATGTATTTCTGCTGACCCTAGGGTTTTTTAAAGACCTGTTATCTCAGAAGTGGATGACAAGACTTGCTGCTTTGTCTTAGTCTGGAAGTTACTCTGAAACCTGTCCACCATGGGTGTCCCTGCTGACATTTGAAATACTGGTGGTATAACTTCTAGTATCACAGAAGCACATAAGTCACCACAGTGTGGCAAACTGACAAGTGGTAGAAAGTAATTTGAAAAGTATTCAATTCATGCAGGAGTATTTTGTTAGGAATATATACAATTTGTAAATGAGTATATGTACCCTTTAGATTCATATTTTCTATTTGGATTTTTATATAGAAAATATTGGTTTTGAAAATGACATATGTCTTCCAATTTTTTTAAAGGAAGGTCTGAAAGATGTGAAATATGATCAGAATGTCTTCTCTCATCTGTCACTTGAATTAGCAGACCGAATTTTGTTTGCAGTGAAAGAGTTTGGATACCACCGTTACAAGTTCATTGTAAAAATATTATTTATTCAAAAGGCTGGTCAGGCAATAACTGTAAGTACCTCATGGATCCAGCACCTCTACCTAGAACTGTAGGAGAGTGCCTCCCCTACATTCTGTCTGCAATGAACCTCGGGGCTTAGAAGTACCTTGTGAATGGGGGTGGGGGGACTACCTTGTACTAAGTTATACATAGTTTGAAAAATATGAACCTGGAAGTGACAGTTTACTATTATATTAAATGGACATTTTATTTCCTGGTTGTTTTGACAATTTGTTGATGTCATATGCCATTGAATTGTCTGCGACTCATGGAGACCATATGCACAACAGCTCTGAACCTTGTCCTGTCCTGAGCCAGTCTCACTGACTTTGATATACCTACTCTTATTGCTGTGTCGGTTCATTTCACCTGGGGTCTTCTCCTTCACTGTTTTTCCACCCTTTCAAGCATGATGTATTTCTCCAAGGACTGTTCCTTTTGGTCAAATGCCCAAAGTATGTGAGATGGAGCTTCAAAATCCTTGCCTGCAAGGAGAAACTTGGTTTCACCCTCTCCAAGACAGACTTGTTTTCTTGGTGGTCCATGGTTCAATATTCTTCTCCATTACCAATACTCAAAGGCATTGATTCTTCTGTCATCCTTAGACATGTCCCACTTTCTGATGCATAACAAGTAATTGTGAAGACCGTGACCTGGATCAGGCACACCTTAGTCTCTAGACTGACATTATTGCTCTTTAGCACTTTAGAGAGTTCCCTGACAGCAGACTTCCCCAGTATAATCCATCTTTTGACTTTCTAACTTTTGATGCCAAGAGTAGAACTGCGCAAGCTGAAATTGTTAACAGTCTCAGTCTCCTCTATCTATTGTGGTATTGCCAATTGTCCCTGTGTGGTGAGAGGCTTAAACCTGGCTACTCCTTGGAGGCAAGGATTCTGGGGCTTCGTCTGACATACTTTGGACATGTTGTAAGGAAAGACAGGTCCTTGGAGAGGGACATCATGCTTGGTAGGGTGGAGGGGCAGTGCAGGAGGGGAAGACCCTCTATGAGGTGAATTGATTCAGTGACTGGGGTAATCGGGATGGGTGTGTCAGAGGCAATGCAATTGGCACAGGATAGAGCAGGGTTTAAGGCTGTTGTACATAGATAGGGTCGCTATGAGTTGCAAACGACTTGACGGCACATAACAACAACCACGACAACTCCTGCTTTTTTCTGGTTGCCATTTGCTTGGTATATTTTTCCCCATCCTTTTACTTTTAGTCTTTCTTTATCTCCATTTTTTCATGTGTGTCTCTTGTAGACAACATATTGATGGATTTTGGTTTTTTAATCCATCCTGCTACTCTTTTTCTTTTCAGAGGTGCATTTAAACCATTCACATTCAGTGTGATTATTGAGAGGCAAGGTTTTATTGCTTTCATTGTGTTGAGTTATTTTTGGTGTTGCTGCTATTTACTTTGACCATGCAGCTTTCTGTGGTATGTCTGTAAAAAGGACATCTCTGAGTCTTTCCTGCAATGCTGATCTTGTTTTTACAAACTCTCTTAGGTTCTG